ACACTTTTTAGCATTTTACCCGAGCTCTTTCGATTCCTCTGAGTCTGCTTTTTAGTATTCCATTTATATTGGTTATTGTATCGTCATTAACCGTTCAATCTCGAGTATATTTTTAGACATATGCATATGTATAGAGAAATCGATAGGTAGATATTTTCATTTTGCATCATTTCTTTTTGGAATTTCTGAAGCTACAGAAAGAAAGGTATCAGAGCGATCATGGAGCTACATACAAAACAACGGAATTCATGTGTTTGAAGCTCATGAGGGTAAACGTTTGATTGTAAATCACTGGGAAGAATTAATATTGGTTTTCCCTAAGGAAAAACCCACCGAACTTGGATGAACAGAACTGTACCATCTATACATATACATCTATCAAGAAAGAAAGCGCATATGGCTTAACTATATATCTTGGAACCATCAAAGTTTATCCGACGTTAGGGGTGCGGATGAGACCCTGAGAGGCGGAAATTGTAGTCTGCTCTGGATATGGTAGCCTTTTAGAGGTAAGGCTAGGCTAAATTCAATGGTATATGAAGTATATTCATCCTATTTCATTTAAGGTGATAAGAGGATTCGTAGTTGAATTTTTCCACTATGATACGAGTAAACCTTATATTTCCATTGGATTTCACATATTCATGTATAGAAGTAGGTTGACCTCGTTTTTGCAACTTGGCCGTGTTGTCAGGACGACTTAGTTAGAAGCACCTTGTCCGAAGTACTCTGCGTCAGACCGTGAACTTGGTACATTCTTAGACGTTTCGCCGGTTTCATAGTCGGCATCATCAGTGAGTCATGCCATTCTCAGCACCAAGCTACAACTCGTCAAAGAGACAAATAAAGTCGAACCCTTGGACGTACGATTATATCATAGGACTTCGGACAAGATACGTCCAACTAAGTCGCCCTGACAAAACTACCAAGTTGTGAAAACGTGGTCAACCCATTCCTATACATAGAAAGGGTATGCAAACATACTGAAGGCCACACATCCATATTTTCCCAAAACGTATTCTCATCCGAGGTGGACTGCAATATTCACCTCGCCTAGGTCTTCGAGAGACTCGAACCATGACATTGTAGTATATAATCTCAACACATTAACCACTACGTTATTTTGTCACGAGTGCCCTTGGGTCATAGGGCAGATGTGAATTTCTCATATCACATTCCGTGATGGGATTCTCGATGAAGCAAAGTTTTATTTACTATAGCAATCGACTTAATTACTCACCTTTGGGACACTCAAGAGAAAATTATTCTAAAAGAAATCCCTAATGCAGGAACAATCGTAAATTTCCAACTCATCACTAATACAGGATAGAGGTTGGAATCATGGCAGGCACACTTATTTGAAACTTAACACTAATGGATATGCAGTTCTGGGATGAAGAATTGAACAAACCAACTACGATGTTTCTCGATTATTGATATTCTTTAGAAGTCATACGAATGAATATATGGATTATAAAAAGCAAATGGCAATGCGATGCTTATTAAAAGAAAATTAAAGGTGAGTAAGACACCTCAAATGAATCTTTATATTCTCCCGTTTACTGAATCGACAAGTATGACAATATTGCGAAAATGGAGTATTCAAATGATTATGAAAAACAGGACGGCACTCTTCACAAACTTCTCTACGCAACATGAGAAGATGGATTAGCTAGAGTCTATTTCATATCATTCAACCACTGTGAGCAGAAATATATTGATACCACAGTGATAAGAATCATGATAATCATGGAAGTATGGATACGGAACAATAAAAAATAACTAGCATATTGTACGGACGGGACACCAGATCAACTGTAAGTCTACAGAACGGGTCGAATACTGTAGGAATAAAAGAAAACACAGGATCTGAGAGGCCATCGATCTTATTAATAAAGAAGATGTAATAACAATGAGTTTGGAAGAAGGCAGAATTTGGGAAAAATTCACTTGGTGTTAAACAAACCCAGAGGAATTAAGGAATAAGTAACATCAGAAACAACGAGATGAGTGGCTCTAGGATGTATTTCTAAAAAGAAGAAAAAGATCCGCAAGGAAGAGTTTCTCTAGGGACAATCAGAAATCAATAGACGATATTTGCATTGAATGCAGACTAACCAGGGAAATCACTACATTATTTATGGGCCTGGCCCACAAAAGGATATGAAATGGAATATACACAGCGGACACAGTAGTAGGGGTTGGGTGAGATTAGTGAACTAATGAGAAAAGAAACAGATCCTCCGTTGTACAAGGGAGAATTTAGTGGTATAAAGTAGTTTTAAGACTGGAGGGCCCAAGTCGGATGAACAATTCTTGCATATTAAGGGGCAAGTTTGTTTACGCCTCACTAAATCCGCCATTAAAGAGCGCACCTTTATAGTAGCTCAAGCTAAACCAGTTAGGTGTAGGTAAGTTAGATACAAGATACGTGAATATATTAGTAAAGAACGAGAGATACGACAACCATTCATCCAAAGGTTGCTGAAGAACTAGACTTCTCTTTTCCTTATGACCAGTTGTAACTTTTATCTAAGACTAACAAGGCTCACTACGATGCTTGAAAAACGCCTGGCCCGATGCTGGAAATTATGTTGGGCGATTATGGATAAGATGCTTTTATCGTGTCTTTCTGAGGACGACTAAATCGCGAAAGCTAGGTTAAAACTAGGTTTCGAAATTATTTAATTTTTATAAGGCATTGAAATAATAGTGAAAAAACTTTATTAAATGTGGACTATGCTTTCTCTCTTTCGTTTGACGCGATGAAGGATTCGTACTTGAATTTTCCCACAATCTTTCCAGTAGTTTCGCAAGGCCTTGCTTTCCGAAAGGCATTTTCATCCGTTCTCGAAATCCTGCTTTGAACCAAAAACCTTGTTACTCCATAAATTTTTATATAGTTATACGTTTTTTGTATTAATGTTGAGAATCTGGCTTAAAATAAAAAAGACAAACATTTACCTTTTATTTTGTTTACAGATGCCACAAAAGGGGAGTTCTTTTCGAAGTTGCCTTTGGTCAGTCATGCCTCATCCTACGGAGACGAGATTGATGCACTAGAAAAAACCT